ATAGCAAAAGACCCAACATAATCCCTGAAGGCTTTCTGTAACTTCTGTTGTTCCTTGCCCCAGCGCTGGGGCACCACATCCTCTTAAAATATTTAGTTGTCAATGTCAGCCTAAGATTGCTTATTCTTCCCATCACCATCTTTCCCTTCCCTCCTAAATCATTTCTGCTTGACCTACAGCTGTCAAGACCATCTATATGTCCTATCAGCTGACATAAAAATACATTTTGAAGAAACTGAGAAGCTAATGGCCCTGTTATCATAAGATGCATCTTCTAATTTTACTTCTAACAGCAGATGTGTCAAACATCCAGCCTATGTAGCTCCTAGAGAGCAGCAGCAGTGTTAATCCCTGCAGCTCCCCGAGCCAACACAGCAGAGGGAGCTGCATGGGTCAATGCGGCTGTTGCTCACTCTACCGCCAAAATGCCAGGTAGAGATCTCTGTTGGAGACTCATTTTGGTGGCAGTGGGGCCACCAAACCCCAATGCCTACAGCCACCCGAGCCAAGACAGCAGCTCAGACAGCTTATGTAACTTATATTAACACTTACATAACTCAACTTGCTGACAGAGGTGGGACCATATCGGGCCCATGAGGCCAAAAGAGTTTGACATCCCTGCTCTAAGGGATCATTCTGATGAGTAGGTTGCCCTAGCAAGGAAATCCTTGCTTTTATTTACAAATTGCAGTCTTGATTTTCTTTGTCGCACTTTCATAATTTATTTGACTGAGCAGTTCACTGCATTCTACTGCCCTGCAGAGAGTAATATACCTTAAGTTATGGATATGTGAGAGACCATGTAGGTTTCACCTGGAAGAATGAAAATCATGGCTGTGGGGACAGGCTGCAATGTTAAAAAAATGGAGTTAGGAGGAGGTATTTGAGATCACTTCAGAACAGGGCTGTCCAACTGGTCCCCAAAGGGTTAACCTATAGCTTTCAGGCTCCCCACATGGCTTTCCTGCTGCTAGAGTCCCCAGTCTCCCCCTTCTTGCTTTTGCCTCCTGCCCCTGGAGTGGGGCGCCCACAGGGCCAAGGCAGCCTACACCTGGGGGGCTCTGGGAACTTAAGAGGTGTGTGACCCAAGTTGGGGGGAGGGGAGGAAGGAAGCAGAGTGGCATGCAGCCTAGTGCCCTCCTTTGGCAGGGAGGCCTGGTGTAGCATACAGACATGACCCCTCAGAAGTTAGAAAGCCCTGCTCCAAAACATAAGAACACAAGAGATGCTGAGCTGGGACATACCACATGTCCATCCAACCCAATATTCTGAACATTTCGGTAGCAGAAAACGGATGCTTAAGGGGAAAGCTGGGAAAAAAGAATTCTAGATAGCTGTTGGTAAAACATGCATCTACATTTAGAAATGAGGGAGGGCTATATTTATTTGATTACAAGACAAGATGTATTCCCCACATATAACATGGACTCAGGTAAACACAGTAGTTGGAAAAAAACAAGTGGAGTAAAAGGATTATTTTTCAGGACAGACAGATCACTGCATGTCTGTATTGAGAAGTGGCCAAAGGAGGTCAGCAATCCAGAGAGATCATTAGGTCAAGCAAAAGGGTAGTAGAAGAAAAGCATAGGATACCTAATGTTAAGATGTTAATGAAGGATAAAAGTAGGGTAAAACTAAATTAGAAGTTTCCTACTTGAGCGAGGGAAGTACAGATGCCTAGCAGTATAATTTACAAATATTTGAAATTTTATTTAAAAAAGAAGCATGCAAAATTTTGTAAAAATATTAGGACTGGACCCTGTCCCAGGAAAAATTAAATTCTAAACCAGAATTCACTTAAGGCATTAGAATCCCAACTAGAATCAAAACATTTTCGTGAAATTATTTTATCTTCATCTTACATTATTTTGGTTGAAATTACAGACTATCACAAGTATACATTTTTTTAAATGTTATAATGCAAACCTCAAACATCTTTCATCTACTACAGATTATGAAGCAAAATTCAGGGGTTAGTCAAGATTATAGTCAGTGGTACCATGTCTACTGCTGGCCACAAGTTCCACTCTTAAAATGAATCCCTGTAAGAATTGTCTTTAAATGTGCCAGCACTATCATTTGCAATAGTCTCTGCTTTCAGCAAGTATCCCCATCCAATCGCAACTCACTTTACAGCCAGACTTTCCACGCAAATTATCCAAATGGAGATACAGATCTAATTCAGATTCTGGATTACAAAGATACTAATGAAAAGTGCTTTCTTACTTTATAAAAAGGGCAATGTTACCCCATTTCTTTTTAAATATTGTTTTACTATGGATTTGACATGATTAACATCAAAACTACTTAAACAAGAATGCTAAGAGGAGGGGAAACTGTCATTACTTTTATACTTAAAAATCAGCAGAATATAAAAACAACGTTGTGAATACTCAGTAATGAAAAAAATGTGTGAAAAATAAAAACAGTTTCAGCATTAGAAACCAAAGCTGAGAGTAAAGAAACCATTGTTTGTAAAGAAGTGTGTTGATCCTACTTGCTAGGACTGAGGTCTGATAAAGAAGTTTTAGGAATCTATTCACCGGGCATATATCTACACGCAGAATTAACGTGCAGCAATAAACTCTGGTACATATAGCACCAGAGTTTAAAATCAGTCCTGAGTGCAGCATTTGAATGTGTGCCGAGGACCACAGCACACTGATCCAGATCAGAGCAGCCCTGGCTGGCATGGGTCCTGGGGGGTCAGCATGCCAGCCTGGGGCTGCTCCAACCAAGCTAAACATGCTGTGGAGGGGCTGGGTGGGGCATGAGGGTGCCTCAGTGTGAGGCTAGCCAACAGAAAGCCCCCACATTGGAGTACCCTCATGCTCCAGCCGGCCTCTTCAGCATCTACACATGTTGCTGAGCACTAAAGAACTCTACAACAGAACTGCAGTGGAGTTTATTAGTTTACTGTGGCCCAATAGGGCTGCATGTGTAGATACAGAGACGTTTACTGTGGAGCTAATTAGTCAGCTTTGCAGCAAACAGCTCATGTAGATGTACCCACTAACTATTAAAGGGTATATCTACAACACAATGCAGCTCCTTCTGGAGCCTCTGTGGTTGTTAGCACAGCATTGCCCCTGTGCTAATAACTTCAGTTAACATGGCTATACAGTTTCCAGAGATAACATGTACAGCGCTACCTTGTGTATCGCTGCATGGTGCTGCAATGTGCCCTGTACACAAATCCATAATATTCAATGGAAAGATTCCTAAAAACTTGGGCTGGCACATCACATTCCACTGTCCTTTAGTACGTAACTACACCTAGCCATGTCAGAAATAAGTGATATTAATACTGCATAAGCAGCAGGAAAAGTATTTTTTCCTAAAGAAATGCTGAATTTCCTAGGAGAGGAAAACTAGAGTTTATTCTTCTTAAATTAAAAATTCAAATATATTTGAACCAGAGCAATCCTTAACCAATCTCTTACTTGACTTCATTTGGTCTGTGAAGGGAAAAGAGACAAAAAGGTACTGAATATGAACTGTGCCCCATGACTGAGGGTAATTAAAGCTAGGTCAGCAGAGTTTAGTTTACAGAAATCTAGTCAATTCAGTTGTATTGCCCTAGAGGAGATAATGCTTTGAAGGATGCACAAATTTCAGTATTTACAGATTTCTGCAAGTGTGATATTGTAACAAAACTATGCATATTAATAAGGATGTAATTTCATCTCTGGGATTTAGTGACAATGATAAACCACTCAAGCTTCACTCTTCATTTATATTGTCACCAGAACCCTTTGATGGAATTACAGCCTTATGTACCCTTGGGGGTGTGTTACTTCTTATAACTTGAAGTGTATGTATGAGAAAAATTACTCAATTTTTTTAAACTGTGTCCTAGATAAAACATACGGAAGTTATAAGCTCTCTTAAGCCTTTTTGTCCCCTAAAGTAAAACTCAGGTGTATTCATGAAGACATCTGCAAGCTAATGAACTCTTAAAGCAGTATGTACAGATGTACACATCAAGAAACACAACAGGATTATTGACACTCCCTCTCAATGTACTATCCTTTTGGAGAATACTAAAAACCTGCTATTGGTAGTCTTCAACACTTCAGAAAAAATGTAGTAAAACAAATTTACCTCCTATTTGCATATACGGAAAAGAGTCAAGTAAATACAAGCTTTTAACTTTTTTTAGCTTCTCTGATAAACACAGTAGTAGTAGTAATAATTATAATAACAATACTACTACTACTAATAATAATGAAACAAAATCGAAAGCAACTTGCACTTAACCTGTAACAACTTCCTGGTTCTGTAGCCTCACTTTTAGGTAAAGAGCAATGGCCAGTCTAAAGTATTGTTTTACAGAGAAGCTACAGGTTAACTTTGCAGGACTTCATGTTCACTGTGTCAGTGATTTCTAAACTAAATCTACACATTTTAAAGGAAAACTATGTTACTCATTTTAAGCCATAACATCATATTAAACCCATACTTTGAAAGAGAAGGTGGGTTCTTTCCTTCTTGAGTCTTTTTGGTCATTTGAAAAAGACAGACAGGCAGACTACCACTGAATAAGAACTGTCATACCCACTTCTTCTGTTCTACCTTAGTTCTATTCCAGTTCTACCTTAGTTAATTTTTTCACAGTGGTGCTGATTCTGCAATGTTCAGCAAAGCCAAGTACTAAAACATGTTTGTTATGAAAGCTATCAGATATGTCTGAGTAACAGCGATCAGGATCTATTGAGTAAGAAAGGTACCTTACTATATCGAGTCACTTTTCTGGGTAGAACCACACTTTAAAGTAAAAGTTAATCTTTGCAGGACCACAAACCAGCAGCTCTGTCAAAACCTAAATGATTTTGGTAGGCAGTAAATCAAGGATGACACTGTCAGTTCAGTACAAGTCGTAAAGTTCTGTTTTACCTGAGGTGTTTAAAGCTCATAATGTGATCTACTAGTAATATACAAGATTGAAGAATTTGTATATATATTTCGTCCATGAATTGTGTACTCATGATTCCATTTACCTTGCATTCAATCTCTGCTTGTCTGCGTTTGGCTTCACTTAACTGAGCAAGAAGTCCTTTGTTCTGTGTAGAAAGATACTGCACCTTCCCTTGCAGATTGGTAACCTCTTGCTCCGCCCTTCGCAAGTGGTTGCTATTGATCTGATTCTGCCATTTATAAAAACAGAAGATAAAGTTTAAGAGGAAAAATGTCAAAGCAGGTCTTTGATGTTTATCCCACCTAACTCACTTCAACAAGGCAAAGACTAATAAGTTACTCAAGAAACTAATCCTACTCTGTAAAAAGGACTGACAGGGTTTGCTTGTTTTTATTTACAAACTGAATTTGTACATTTTTACTGAGCAAAAAGCATTCTGAACTTTGACAGCCAAATATGCATTTAATCTTAATGTTTTACTTTAAATTAGAAAAATGACAGAACTACCTTTTAGCTGATAAATATCAAAAGTCAATGCTTAAGTAACAAGAATTCAAGTACTATACACAGAACACTCAGATTAGTTACCAAGATGTTAGATTCTGCAAGCAAAATTACTTTTTATAGAATCATTGTACAAAAATATAGTAATATAGTACCACATTTTGTTCAAAGGGAAACTAACAATACACATGCACAGAAGCACTGAGTACATACAGTGAAGTATTAAAGGTTAAGATTTTTAGTACATGGCATGCGGTAGAACAGGATAACTATGCCCCCTGCTGACTGTAGTAAAATAGTACAGGTTATTTTTCCAATTACTGATCCTTTTTTGCTTAGGCTGTTGGCAGGAGTTAATGGATTCATGTAAATGGATTTTAAGGAATTTTATACCCTACTCCCCAATCACAAGATATGCCATGCCACACATGCATGGCAGGTTGCGCAATTTAGCTAGTAGGGCACAAAATTCCTCAAACCCCAATTGTGCAACTGCCAGCTGTCAGCGTGGGGTGGGAGTGCAGCTGCAAAACAAGCAGCTCCCTGCTCCCCAGCTGCACCCCTGCACAAATGGAAGCAGCAGCTGGGGAGCCAGAAGCTCCCCCCTTTCCAGGTACCACTTTCATGGGTGCCTGGGAACAAAAAAGTGGACAGGCAACGGGGGCTCCCTTATATGGCGGCTTTTTAAAGAATTGGAGCACAGTGAGTCCAACATCAAGGAGCCTTTCCTTGAGATTGGGCTCACAGTGCCCCAGATTTTTAAAAGGCTTCCCCACTTTAAAATTTTTAAGTGCTTAAAGCCTGACATCAGGGAGAGGCTCCCAGTGACCTCCACAGTGCAGTTGGAATCAGGGAGGTCCTGTCCCCTGCTGCACAGCACCAGTTTAAAGAAGCACGCACACAAGCAGCAGGGGCTGGGAAAAGCTCCTTCATCCCCAGTTGCCAGCACTCAGCAGCTCTTCAAATGGATGAGTGAAGCTGGGGATAGGAGAGCTTTCCCATCCCCAGCTCTAAGTGTTGGGAAAACAGTGCATGTAGAGGCATGAGAGTAGTTCCCCCACCCCCAGCTGCTAGTGTCAGATGCCTTTGTAAAGGGGCACATGCAACTAGGGAAGGGAAAGCTCCCCCAGTCCCAGCTGCACTCAGCTGTTTAAAGAGCTGCCTGGTGCAAGGAGCTGGGGATGGGAGAAGCTTATTACTACCTGTATACCTGGCATCTTCTGAGGATAAAGCAGGGGGCAGCTGGGCTCAGGACTGGAGCTACCCTGGTAGTCTGCCACCTGATGGCAGACTACCAGGCACTGGGGGGCCTGCTGTAGGAGACAGGGGCGCAAGTGGTAATCTCCTCCATCCTACCAGTGAGCGGACATGGAAGGAAACAAGAGACCTGCATTGGTGAGGTCAACTTCAGACTTCGGAATTGGCGTTTCAAGGCAGGCTTTGGCTTCCTGGACAACGATCCGCACATCACAATGAGGGACATGCTCGGATGGGATGGGCTGCACCTTACCCCTAAAGGTAAGCGTGTTTTCTCTTCTAGGTCGGTGGATCTCCTCCGGCGGGCTTTAAACTAGGCTTGTTGGGGGAAGGGGATGGCGTGGGCAGAGGAAGCCTCAGACAAGCAAGCCAAGCATCACCTGCAGGAGCAGCCCAGCCTAAACCGATGACAAGCGAAACAGGTAATCAGGTAAGTGACATGGGCCTGGGTACCGCTGGGATTAGGGGGGCGGTCCATTCATCTTCAGGAGGCCTCAAATGCCTCTATACTAATGCTCGCAGTATGGGGGACAAGTAGGAGGAACTAGTCCTCCTGCTAGCCAGCACCATCCCAGATATAGTTTGGCTCACCGAAATGTGGTGGGACCCAACACATGACTGGGCAGTGAATATCAAGGGCTACAGGCTCTACAGGAAAGATAGGACAGGCAGGAAGGGTGGGGTTGTGGCACTATGTCAAGGAGCAACACACATCCACAGTGAGTAACACTGGGTCAGAGGAGGAGCAAACAGAAGTGCTCCGGGTTAGAATACCAGGGGGTCGGGGAGAAAGGGACTTAACAGTGGGGGTCTACTACAAACCACTGAACCAAGGAGAAGATCGAGACCAGGAATTCTTAAGCCAGCTCACGGAGATAGTTAGGTCCAAGGATGTGGTCGTCATGGGTGACATAAACTTTCCAGACATCTGCTGGGAGGAGCAGACAGCCAGGTCTGACCACTCACGCAGGTTCTTAACTGACATACAGGAC